CCTAGAGGCAAAATGTTTACTGACAATGATGTGCAAATGTGTGTGTGTATACATATATATATATACACATTTATATATATATATACACATTTATATATATAATCAGACTCAGAAATCTGTTTCAGCAATATAAAGATTGCTAATTAGATCATTTAGAGTGGTATTTTGGGTCATTGCTTCTACCTTTAACATGAAATAAATTATTTACTCTAGGAAAAGAATGTATTTAGAGGAATCTGGAAGTGATTTGTAGACAGCCTGATTATGTGTTTGTGTGGGGCAGTGCTGGTCTAATTTGTTCAGGACCTTGTGGTCCTCGTGTCACTTCCGAGTGGTTCTGTGGTTGCCACAACCAAAGGGCGCCCCAGCATTGCCTGGCTCCAAGATCAACTGACTGTGCGACAAGATGTATTCGCATCTCCAAGAGAGAAAAATAAAAAGCTACCAATTTTCCTTATATTAATCATCTTACAAGTATTTATAAATTCTTTTCTTAAATCCAGAAAGCTGCTAATGAACTGCTCAGATCGTTTTACTAGAATTGCGTGAAAGGTGACTGCTGAGAGCAGAGCAGCAACTGGGGCACGAGTTCTCCTCTCACACCCTCAATTCCTTAGCTGGGAACAGGAAGAAGGGTCTACCAGAGGTCTCAGTGTCAAAGAGAACCTTCTTTCTCATCAGCCTCTTACTTGGAATCAAATTCTTCTTCCAGCACAGCAAAATCTCAACCCTCCAAGCAAAACTCGCACCTCTAAAACTGGCACGCTTAACATGAAAAGTATCTGAGACTGTGATATTTAAAATGAAGTTGATTAACTTCATAAAATAGAAGTGCATTATTTTTCTACCACACGAGTAAGAAAGAGGCTTGATTCTAAATTGATTTTTTTCCCATTAAGTTTATTGGTACATTTTCGGTATAAAATACAGTTACACTCATCACTGGGATCTTGTACCTTTACATGGTATCTCGGTTCTTATTTTCCCCCTTCCCCTGCCCTCCCTTCACCCTCTCCACCCCTCCCTATTTACAGAGACTTTGTTCCATGTTTTCTCTTTTTCTAAATTGCTGTTTACTTAGATTTGATTCCAAACAGAGGAGAAACACTGCTTGGTGGTTGTCCTCAGTGTCCCCACGGTAGCTGCATGTGAGTGTTTCAGCTGACATCTAAGGACAGCTCCTGAGCAATCATCTGATAGGTATTGCTGAGATCCTTAGTGGGCCTGTGGCAGTGGTAATGGTGCTTTGGACTGATACAATAACAAAGTAAAAGAGGCTAGGTCGCTGCATCTAAGTCCGGAGCCTGTCCCTACTGCTGTGCAGAGAGGCGGTGTGGTAGGAAGGCAAAGATGACTCCACTGAGAATCTACTAGATAATTTATTTATTAGAGAAATGTAAATAAAAGTTTACTTTCTATTCAAACCCTATGACCCTTGACCTTAGCTAAGCTACACATAAAACATGCATATGGGTTTTAGAAACACTTACAATACATCTTAGTAAGCTTTAAACATTTTTAAAATTTACTTGAATAAATAAATAGAATTTGCTTGTTTAAACCAAAATGTCCATGCTTAACTAGGGAGATTTTATTTTTTATATGGTGCTAAAGGAAATAAGACCATTGCTGAAACTGTTGAGTTGCTTGTGTCCATGTGGCTAAACCGGACCAAGTCCTGCTTTTTAAGCAACTACTGGCATGAAGGACGGCAGTTGAAATGTTCCTGAGGGGCCACATCGGAGAGAAGCCAAATATTTAAATTTCATTTTTCAGCTTGCTAATGGTGCTCTAAGTAAACCTGTTGCTGCTACAGTGTAGACACAATCGCAATAGCCTCTGTTCTTAAATCAACTGGCTTCACCTGCAGTCTGCAGCGGCTGATTTCCCTGGGTGGTCTGCAAGTGTTGCCGCAGGAGAAAGGCTGACACAGCCTAATCCGGATGTTACAAAGGTATGCGAGTTTAGTTTATGTGTTGTCTGGTCCTTCCTGAGAACATAGACATTCTTTTCAGCTTTTTTTGAACCTCTGTGGAATGAATGGGCCTGAAAAGCAATTAACATTGATTTTCTTAATAAAAGACATAAAGTGAGACTTTGAGCTTGTGTTGAGACATGAAAATATGTACACGAAAATGAACAGTTTTAGAATTCAAATTCAAGTTGAACATTTGTATGTTGAATCTGTGTGTGACTTTATTCTATCCTAGTGTTTGTTGTTCCTGTATCACATAACAGTGTTTGACAAAGTTAATGTTACCTGCTTACTTTTTAAAAGGTAGGGACAATGACAGTGTGTCTGGAGCCCAGTATGTTATCACCAAACATCAACTGGCCATAGAGGAAATTAGGGAGATTATTAATCTGTCCTCAGAGTTGGGAAGAGATGCTATGAGGAGGTTGCTCAAAGACGGGGGTCTTGGAGCCAGAGCAGAGTACTCCCAGGACAGAACTCCCGAGAACTGACTGCTCTGGAAGTACAGTCACCACACATGTAGCAACACAGCACCTGTCCTGCCTACTACTCAGGAAAGGCCCCTTGGTTAGTTCAGTAAATCAAAGTGGGTCCCCTGTGCCAGATGGCTGGTAGAGCAGTCCAGACCCACAGTCCAGTCCTGCCTGGTCCACCTGGAATTTAAAGCTGAGGCCCTGGCTTTACTCACTGTGCATAGGAGCCTGCTCCAGCCTGACCTTTTGCTCATTTCAGAGAATTAAACAGAGCTCGCCAAAGGGTAACCTTCTCTTTTTCACACACCTGCGCACATCCCAAACCAAGAGTGCTGAAACTCAATGATCCTCGAAAGTAAGGAGCCAGCAATGACCTTTAATGAGTAAGTCTTCCTGGAAAACATCTGAGAGGAAAGGCCTTGATATTAGAATCAATGTCAAAAGAACCGATAATTTGAGAAAACATTTAAAGATTCAGAATCTATTTCCAAGAAAGTTACAAAATCCCAGGAAAGAAAAAACTGTTGAAATTAAATGAAAAAGAAAACAAAAACAAGAACTGCATTCTGGCCTTGATCTATGTGGACTGAGAGAGAAGTCTCTGCCATGTGATTAGTTCAAGGTTACTAGGATGCATATTCTAATGATTTCATTAGAACAAATTATTTTCAGTGAGAAATCCTGAGGAGGCTGCTGCTCAGAATGATTCAAGTAGGAATCCAGTGTACATGGTTTTAATCCTTTCTGGTCAAATTAAAATGGTGTGGATGTCTTGTGGATACAGACTCGGCTATCTTCCTTGTTCACACATGTGCAACAACTCTGCTGGCACACGTGATTTATTCTTTATATCTGGAGCCGGGCTGTAATCATTTACCCCTTTTCAAGTTGAATTTGGCAACTTTATCTCGTTTGCTTTTGCATGTTTTGAAAGTGGAAATATATCGTGCAGCTTTTGATGTGTTCATTGGTAGGAAGATAAAGACAGCTGCACGGGTCCCGTGAGACAGGCTCCGGCAGAGCGAAGCCTCTCACGCTTTCTTGTTAGCCAGGATAGATCTCCACCCTGATGAACCACAGCTCCTCAATAGCAGGGGCTCTGCGAGCATGTGATCAGCAGCCACAAATCAGTGCTCCCTGGGACTTAGTTATCGGCATTTGTGCCTTAGGCCATGCCCCACTGCTGCTGGCTCCACTGTAATTTTTCCCCCAGTGAAGTTTTTAAAGTCGCAGGCTGAGACCTTAACCATGCTCTCCTGGCAACAAGGCTGTCACTAGTCTTCCAGATATCAATTGCCAGTAAATAAATTGCTGCTTTAATGTACTCGGCCTCTCACTATTGAGAGGTTGAATGCTAGCAGGATTTCTTACTGTTACGTCTTTCTCTCCAAAATTTATTTTCAATGTCCCCTCTCTTATGGACACATGCATGGGTTGATCTGTGGATGTTTAAGTCTCTCACTTGTGCCTGAAGTTGTGCGATCGTGCCTCTCTAGGTCTCAACGCAACTAACTAGCTTCTTACTACCTTCCCCACTTTGCTTCCGAAGGTAGCCTTCTAGAAGGCACGTGCAGCCCTCCCTCCTTTTTAGCATTGCCTCCTGTCTCTGTGTGTCTCAAGCGGGCCCCTTAAAAAAACCTGTTTGTGTCAGCGCTTAGGAGACCCTGAAATACACCACTTTCTAAGCGAGAATCGCTCTGTTTGATCACTAGACTGTCCCCTGAAAGTGGTCAAGGGCCTCCTTTCCAGTAAAATTATGGCTTGACTGTAAGCACCAAGGCCATGTTTGAAATGCTGTGCTGCTGACTCGGGCCGGCGCAGAGGGGATCGGTGCTCGCGGCTGCTCCTCCCCTCCGGTGTGAGCTGTCAGCAGCACGCACGGCACGCGGGGACAGCAGCGGGAGGGACTCGGGGCGCCCTGGCCTCCGACTGCCCAGTCCCTAGCCCTCCGGAAAGACCGGCGGCCCTGGGCCCGGACTCCAGCTCTTCTCCCGGCCCTGGCAACAGCGTAGCGCAGCCTCCTCTTCTTGTGAGTCTACCGAACCCTTACTCTGTCTCAACTCACTTCGCCTCTTCCCTGGCATTTACAGACACCAAAGGGGGACATATTCTTAAATGAGAGGGTTGAGCCTGCTTGGGAAAGGAGGCTGCGTGGGCCGGGATGATTCATGCAGCCGGGCAGAGGCGGCAGTGGGGGTCCTGCTCCAGGGCGCAGGGGAGCTTGGGGCCCCGGCTCACTGTAACACTGCCTCCCGCGTGGTTCGCGGGCTCTACCCTCACAGCCTGAGGGTGATGGCAGCCGACACCAGAGTCAGCCTCCAATGCCACTCCCCACCGGAGGGCTTCCCGCTGTCCCGCAGTAATACTGGGCCCTCCCACTACTGCCTGGCACACTTCTTTCCCGGAACGGGTCACCTTCTAATGCAATATGGAAGCAACTTATTTATACTGTTGATTTGATTCCCCACCCCGAACGAATGTGGAAGTTCCAGGAAGGAAGTTTGGTGTGGTTACTTGTGTGCTGTATCCACAGTAACTAGAACACCCAGTAAGTCCTCGAAAAACATCTATTAAAATGAGGCATGCATTTTCCACGGGTGCTGAGATATGGTAGGGATCGGCATACCCATAGAATGTAGCCAGCTATGGCTTTGACAATTGCCTTGGCTGCCTCTGGCAAAAATCTTTCAATAAAATTTCTTGATTACTAATTAAACTTACATTAAATTTACATAGCTGTGTAAGATGACCCATAGCTTCTATGAATCAAGCTGTTATTCTGGCTCTTCTCAGGTGATTATTTCTTAGATATATTGGAAAATTAATGACCCTTAAGTTTACTATTTGCCTGAACATAGAATGATTTGAAATAATGACTTTCTAATCTAACTTCACAAAGAAATTTACTGAGAAAATAAAGTTAACAACACTTAAAATTTATATTTGAATAGTTAAAATAAATGGAAGCAACTTTCATAATTAATTGCATGTTTATGTTTTTATGGCTACTGTGTGTGCAAACCATCATTATAATTTTTTTAAAATTGCCCTATATTGGTATTCAAACTTTCTTTATGAGTTGTATTTTACAGGGATGTATAATCCTAGATGATATGCTAAATTTTATTTAAAACTACAGAAAGGTTTATTTCTTAACCCAGCCCATAAGCAGTATTTGATTTTTATCTCTCTTGACCTGAATAAACCAAGAGAAGATTTTCATTCCAAAAGGTAATCATACGTCCTGTGTCCTGAAGATCAAGCAGTGGCTATTTGGGCATCGAACAACATATCTGTGGAGTCAAGTCACACATTCCTCAACATATTATGCAGACAGAAAAAGAATGAAAGCCAGAGCCTGTAAAAGTGATTCTTGGACGGCTTGAAGAGTGTGTAAAATGTGCGCTATAATTTCAGCCTCCTGCAGTGCAAGTGATTAGCTAAAGAAACACTTTGAACCTGTTAGCTGTACATCTTTTAAACCATTTTAAATTATGGAAAAGATAGTCCTCAAGAAATTAATTAAAGTTTTGGACAATAATGCAATCAGGGATATCTGTGTTTGCAGTCTTTTCTCTCTGCTTGCGTACACTTTTCTCTGTCAAGGACATCAAACAGCTAATTAGCCCCATTTTAGGAGCTCACTGCTCCCATCACTTAAAAGAATTGGGCTGCGTTCTCAGAGCTTGCACTCTGTGCTGGCTTCCTGATGCTTCTTAGGCTCTGAAAGAAATGGGAGCCACTTTAGAAGTAGACAGACTTTCTCCCTACCAATCGATTTTCCTCATTTTCTCACTCATGACCAGCATTCTATAAATAATCTTATTAAGACTGCTAAACTTATTTATCCTACTATTTGGTTATTTCAAATACTCTTGGGGTTGCTGAAAGCATCCTAAAAAACATTAAAATGATTGCTTTTTATCAACGCATGTGGTGCTGGGGGGAAATTATGAGAGAGTAAAGTGTTGCTTTTATTTTGCATAAAGAGTTCCTACCATGACAAAAGTTCAGTGCTTCAAGTACTCATTTTAGATATCACATGATCCACAGATATCACATGGTAGCACATGTTGGAAGTGATAACCCTAGCTAGAGACAGAATTCCTGACTCACGGCTTCCAGGAATCTGGACTATCACATGTCACTTCAAATTGACTATGAAAATAACTCAGGACTCCAGAGGGCTTCAGTTAACAGCTGAAATATTGTGATATTTTACCACAGGTGATAGAGAACACGGACAGCAAATGGATACTCGGCTGTTTCCTTGAAGGCAGATGTAAAGGATAGTTCTCCCTGCATGAGCAGGTGAGCAGGACAGGGTGTGGGGGATGAGGTGGGGGTGTGGCTGCTTGATCCTGTCTCTCTTCGTGAGGCTATGACTTCAAGGACAGGTAACAGGTGGGTCAAGAGTAGCCAGAGTACCTGAGACACGAGCCTTGTCCTATCTTGATCAGAATAAGACACCTGGAAGTCAACTAGATGATTGTGAAATAACAACATTAGACACCTGTCTGAAGTTGGTATAAATTAGGGCTCATTTAAAATGTTGAAATATTAACTCATTAAATCTTCAAAACAAACTTTTGGATTAGTCACCATTACTTAATATTGTCACTAACTTATCAAAGTAGAAAGCCATATGCAGACAGTTTAAGTAACTGCTGAAGGTCACACATTCACCAAAGGGTGGATTCAGGATGTGGCCCATGTGGTCAGAACCTGGAACTGTGCAGTCTTCAAATCTGGAAGGAAGAATGACAGGGAGAAGTGACGGAGAGAAGTTGGAGGAGATGTGGATGGGGTGGGAGTGAGGGAAGGAAGGAGTCAAGATGAAGACCACTCAAAAGTGCCTTCAGTGACACCCAATGCCACAGTTTTAACAGAAGGCCAAGATGCTCAAGGAGCTAAGGAAAGAATCGGGGGGAGACACCCTTTAGGGACGTGACGTTTGGCCTACGCTTTTGAAGTGAATCACACAGGATTCAAGGGCTTCCTGTTTTTGGTAGGTTTCATTAAATAGGGCACATAACTTATGCTAATGTGTTTTCACCCTCAGCAAAAAATACTTCAATAAATATAAATATTATGATCTCAAAGAAGAGGGAATGAAAGCCAGGTTGATGCATGAACTATCTAAATAAAAGGAGGGAAAATCAAAGCACATGCACACTTAGCTTTTGCTCATGGTTTACAGGGAACGTTTTGGTCTGTTTCTATATGTCAAAGCAGTGCTGCTGAACCTTATGAATGTCCTCATATCTATGTACCAAGCAGGGAGAAGCAGTCTTCGCTACTTAGCAAATGCATGAAGCAAATACGTTGTGAGGTACAGTTGCAGAATGTGGCTTACTTTTCATTGTGTTCCCCTTGGAGAACACACTTCAAAGAATTGAGTTTGCCTGTGTCTGGCTTTGGTGCCCTGAGTTGTAGCACCTGGCCTGGGAGTGTCTGTGTAACTCACAGCTGGGAGAAGGATGCTGGAGACACGGGCCACCGGCTGTATTCACTGTCATCTAACCCAACTCACTCAGAGTTGAGGAAATTGGTATCCTAGGGTTATGATTGTCCATTCATTCCACCAAGCCAGTTACCGAGTGTCTGCCATGTGCTAGGTAGGAGCTGTTCTAGACAGCTTGCTTGGGTGGGTCAGTGCCTTGTTTAGGTCACATAGACAACGAACTGCAGTCAGACAAAATGTGCTATTCTCACCCCCCTCGGTGGCTGTCTGTTGGACTGTGTGGCTACCCACTTTTAAGGTTATTCTTTCAGCTTGATTTTGGAAATATACCTGTGTAGGGAACAGGGAAAGGGGATGTTACTAGAACCTCTGCAGTGAGTCATAGTCTCCTGTGAGCCACGGCAGCACAAGGCAAATTAACTTATTATACAGGAAAGGTAGAAAAATGAGACTTTGAGAAGAAGCTGAGCTTTGGGCCTGATCAGTGCTGTGCTGGGTGGCAAAGACGACAGCCCCCAGCTTACCGCACCTTTTATTTAGTACATCAGGAGAAACAGATGTAACAAATGACTTGCAGAGAGTTCAGTACATCAGGATAAGCAAAGTGTAAGGAATGACTGGGGGGCGGTCGAAATCCAAGAACAATGAGGAACTGAGTAGATGAAGATTTGGTCCCTCCCAGGATGTCTTCAGCTGGTGTAATCTGTTCCTGGAGAATCACAGCATCATCGGATCATTGAGGTCTCAGTTGTGACCGGAGGCCAAAATGGAATTATGTTTTGAAATGCCACAGCTGGGCTGTAGGCAGGAGAACTAGGCCTAATCAAATGGTTTTTCCCTAAAATTATGTAGCATTGCTCCTGACTTCTTGCATTTGTTTTCTGTGTAGGTCCAGCCTAGAAAGCACAGTTAATTGAGGGGAATTTGCCATTCTTCTCAGATTTGGACTTTTGTGTCCTATTCCAGGGGTTAGTACTATCAGGAGCTTAAAAGTGACATGAATAAAACTGGAAGTGTAGGGCCAGTTACAGCAATTAGAAACTATATTTGATAGTGGATTTTTTTGGTCTTGAGATTTTTGCTGCTTCCATATTCATTTAAGATATATATGTTTAGTATTTTAAAAGTTTCTATTCTTGCAAAAGAAGTTACTTATGGATGATACGATACAATCTGTTACAACTTTCAAATTATATAAGTTAATGCAATGCTTGAACCAATTTATTGAATTCTTTTTTTTGTGTGTGCACTACTATGGATTCAACCTAGGTCCTCATACATGCTAGGCAAGTGTACTGTACTCCTGGGTCTATTTATTTATTTATTTATTAGTTCTTTCTTATTATTTTGAAGCAGGCTCTCAGTAAGTTGTGCAGGCTGCCCTTAACTTGTGATCCTCCTGCCTCAGCCTCTGAAGGGGAAGATTACAGCTGTGCAACACTGTGTCTGGCTTTGCCTTTAGAGTTTAATGATGAACCAGATGATTGGGATCTAAAATCTGGTGTTTCTGAATCCAGTGCCTTCCTACTGCACTCTTGATTCCTGAAATGTCATATTTATCTTCTTTATTTTTCTGTTATTATTGTATTATTTATCCCTCTTCCTTGCCTCCTTTACCAGTCATAGGCATGTCTGTGCTTTTCTCCAAAATTAACTTCGCCATGCATACTTTGCAACTCAGAGCTCCCATTTTTTCCTAAGACTGTGTCATCTCTTATCAGCTCATTATCAGCTACCACCTAAGTGACTGGATCATTATATGGTTGGTGATTATTTGTCAGCTAATAGAATAAATCAACAATGCGTTTTTCCTGTGTTATTGATTAGTAAAGTATCTGCAGTATCTATCTTTTTCTTTGTTTTGCCTCGCCGTGTAGGGTTCAATATTAGATAAACTTTCTTGCTAGATTGAGTCCATTTGTTTATAGTAGACTTGGGCATCTAGTTTTCCAGACACAGTTTCCAGTCCGTTCATCTTGTTGCTGAAGATCCCCTGGATCCAATGATATCATACAAATATTTTTGTCTCCATGGTATTGGTAAATTTGAACATGCTCATTTCTGTTATTGGTATTGTCTCAATACTTCCAAAAGTGATATGCGTATGTTCCGGTTCCTTGATATTAATATAGTTACTATGCTTCTGAGACATATGTCAATAAATTTAAAAAATGAACATTCATGACAACATGACCTGGCGTCACATGTGCCTGGTGCTGCACACATCATATGTGACTTCTAGGCCCAGAGATTCCTTTTTACGGAGTTTGTAGCAAAGTTATTCATCACGAGCCAGCCACAGTTTTTGCTCCTTTAAAGAAAAACATCATAAGGGCAGTTGCCCCCAACAGATGGGAATTTCATTTTGCATGGCTCCACTTCAGCTTCTGAGAATGAACACTAGAGCCGCACATACTGCGGACCCGCCCTGATCCTTTGGCTTGGTAACTGGGTTCTATTCCCGTGACTAGCACCTACTGTTATTCCTTTTCTCTCCCTGCCTTGTCCTCCCATGTTTCAGGAGCCCTTGAACCTTGAAGTTGGTTGATTAAATAGTCACTTTAGGAAAGTTTCTGGTCCCTTCAGCTGCTCCTAAAGCCCTAACCAGCAACAGTGACCATACGGATTCCCACAGCGCCCTAACTGGAGCTGCCCCTTTGGCCTCCTCAGCCCTCTTGGCTGCGTTCCTGGGCAGTCCGCAGAGGATCGTCACCGTGGTTTCACTCACCTAGTGTTCTAGCCACAGTTTCAGCCTCCACAGATTGGCAGAGTCCATGTGCAGCATTTCTTGTGACATAGTGGGTGCTTGCAAAACACTTACTGAATGGATCAAATGAAAAGTAATTCCTGCGAAATTTCTGCTTCTAGAGAGTCTGCTAGTTGTCTTCATCTCCATGTTATTGAAGCAACTCTTGCCTCCCAGGACCTTCTTGATCTCGGCCACCTATCACTTATTTCTCTACCTCTACCTCCTGCCTTACACTCCTTACAAGCGGCTGAGTGTTATCAAGAGCATGATTTTCAACAGCAGGCACA